GAGAGAGAGAGAGAGAGAGAGAGAGAGAGAGAGAGAGAATGGCGAGGAGGGAAAAGGCCAAGGAAGTGTGTGTGGAGGCTGGATGGTGCCCAAGTCCTGGGGCCACTGAGGAGGCAGAACCCTGGAAGGCTGGAGAGAGGCCAGTGCCCCGCCCAGCCCACCCACCCACCCGCCTGACTGGCAGAGCCTCCTGAGCTCCCCTCCTCCACCAGTGCTAGCAGGCAGGGCAGGCCCCTCCCCTTACTCAGGCCTCACCCTCCGCTTCCTGAACCCACCCCCACTCCCACCCAGGGGCCCCTCACCCAGCATGACAGCCAAACCCCACTACTCCCGCTCGTTGGTGTCCCACAGCCCTGCCAAGCCCCTGCCCAGGCTTTTGTTCACCAGGCCCACCTCTGGGGAGCACAAATCTGACCAGGTCTCTTCCCAGCTACAAACCCTGGGCTGATTTCGGTCTCCCTACTCCCCTCCCCACACTTGCTCCTGCTAACCTCTCTCCAGGTTCACCTTTCCTGACTCTTTCAAAAGAGAGCACCTATCATGGGCCAGTGTGCTGGGACACCGCTTGGCTCTGGTGGGCTGGCTACCCCCTACCCAGACCTGCCCTGACAGGCCAGGCCAGTGGGTACCTGCTTGCCTTTGCGTGTGCCCTGCCCTCTCGTGCACCCCACGCCCAAGCCTGTGGGAGCCTGCCCTGCATCCAGCAGCCCTCTGGGTTTCCCATTCCAGCACTGGTAACAGCTACACTGACTGATTACGTCCCCAGACACGCTGTCAAAATCAAGCCACTAGACCACTCTTGCCAGGTGCTGACTCAGGTGCTGCCTGGTGTTCAGTGGGGGTCTGAAGAACTTCAGAGACCACGTGCCAGGAGGGGCCTCCTGCCCCCACCAGAATGTGGTTCCAGCGCTGCTCTGGACCTTCCCCCGTTCTTCACTGCACGGAGGTTGTGGGCCACACAGCAATTTGGGCAGCAGGTCCCAGAGGTAAGCCCTGGGACACTCTCCATTCAAGCAGGCCACTGAGCCCATGTACAATGGGAATGAGTGGCCAAATAAAGGAAACGAGTGGGCTAGCTTGGACAGAGGGTGGGCACACTTCTGGGGCAGAGGGTGTTCAGCCAGCCAAGCCGGGCCACCCTGGAAGCTCGTCCACAGGGAGAGACGGACTGCTATTTTGTGCCTTCCCTGCAGAGCACATACACACACGTCCACACACGTGTACACGGAAGCAGAGAGCAGACACGCGGCCATGAGGGAGTGAGGGACAGCGAGGCAGGGGAGGGAGCTCCTGGAGAGGTGGATTTCCCAGGCCCTGAACCGCCTAATGAGCTGGGGACTCATTAACTCTGGCTCCTATGACCGTTCTTGGTGCCCTCCAAAGGGGAGCATGCTCAGAGACAACCCCGGGCTCCCAGGGGACACACAGGGAGCCCCCAGGTCATGGCCCCAGATGCAGGGACCACATACTTGGTGCCAGGTGCCTCGAACATGTGACCTCAGTTAACCTTCCCAGGTAGGAATGACTACCCTTATTGTGCAATAGGAAAACAGGCCCAGAGAGAGAAAGCAACCTGCCAGAAGTGCCACGGAGGGCAGAGTCTAGGCAGGCCACCAGGTCCTACCTAGCCGGTGGCCCTGCCTCCCATAAGGCTGGCGGAGCAGGGGTATGACATGACAGACACACCCTCAGCTACTCAAGCCCCTGCCCTGACCCCATCTACCCCTCCAGCATCGGGCATCCTACTCCAGGCTCCTATGATTCCAAGTCACTAGGCTGTAACCAGGTCCTTGCTCAAACCTGATCACCTGTGCTGCATCCCTGCCTCTGTCCTATGCTATCCGGGAACAAAAGGGAGATGGTTTTCACTGTATCTCTTTCATGAGCTCCATGGAGAAGCCCAAGGGCCATCCCTATCCCCCCTTCCCCATCTTATCCCATTGTGCAACACCCACCATTAGCAAATATCCAGTCACTGTTCAGGGTTCCCTTCTTCCAGGAAGCCTCCCAACGCCCTTCCCAAGTGCTTAGATCACTACCTCTGTGCCAGTGCTGCCCCCCAACAGCACACACCGTAGTAACCCCCCACTGCATGTTCCAGAGGCAGGCCTGGGTGGCCACCTAGCACCTGACTTGCACGTTAGAGAAGGAGAAACCTCTTCCTGCTTGGGACCACCTCTAGCCCCCTACAAGCCTTCCCCTTGAGAAACCACAAAGACCTGGGCTGGGGGAGCTGCCCGCACCCCGCGTGCCTGGGTCTCCATCGGAGCTGAGTCGGCATTAACGCTGGGGCCTCTGGGCTAACTCTTGGCAGCTGCTTCTCCACCCCCCTTCCCTCCGCTCCCCTCAGAGGCCAGGGCTCCCATTCATTTGTCTCGTTAAGAGGCCTATAGAAACACATTTGTCCGCTCCGCGCTTCACTGCTCCGGTCGTCAATTCTCTGGGGTGCCTGCCCTACCTTTTGCAGTAGCTCTGTCCACGTTTGCTCAGTCACCCCTGGCTAGAAGTCTCCTAAGCCCAGCCTAAGCCTGGTCACAGTGGGAGGGCTACAGATCCAAAAGCGTATGTAGCATGAAGCAGGTCTATAGGACAGACCCTGCTTCACAGGGCCAAGTCACAGCCCCCAACCCAGGCTCCCCTCCCATGGCTCTCTGTCTGGGAGCAGAGCCCCACTCACCCTATTTCAGCATCTCCAGCTGGTTCCTACTTTCAAGACCCTGGTCCTTGGGTTCTGGTTCTTAAGGACCAGCATGGAGGTTCTGGGACTCTGTTCTAAAAATTGTTTCACTCTGTCCCCCAAGTAGCACATGACCCAGACTCCTGGAGGAAGTGATGGTTCCAAGTGTGTGGGAACTGGTCAGGTGGGAGGACAAGGAAGAGTGTTCCAAGCAGAGGGATCAGAAGGAACAGAGGCCCGGGGAACATATGAGTGACAGAAGTCAGCATGGCGGGAGCCTGGGGCGGGCGGCAGAGTGAAGGATGAGGTTGGCAGAGGCCAGAAAATGCAAAGCCTTGAGAAGCGTCGAGACCCCTAGGCTTGATCCTGAAGGCAACAGGGGAGGAGAGTGAGGAATTTTAAACTGAGCGGTGACACAGTCAGGCTTTCATTTTGCAACCTGACTCTTAGACTCCGGAAGGGAGAATGGATTATGAGGGAATGGAGGCAGGGAAGACATCAGGAGGCAGTTGCGTGCAAAAGCCCAAAAAAGAGCTGAGCGTGGCTTGGGTGAAGGCAGTGGAGAGGAAGGTGGATGCATTCCAGAGATGTTTAGAAGGGAGAAACAACAGAAGTTGGTGAT